CCAAACTATTTATCTCTTCACTCTATCTAAAACATTAAATTACGACGTGCTTGATCTCCCGCATTCATTGAAATTGGCTGATCCCCACTATGATCATCAAGAATTTTATAATAGCATCACTTCTATACAGAATTACAGATTGTTTGATCAACCAATTTCATCCTACATTCGTCTTCCTAATATAAAAGACCTTAGGATAAAACTTCCTCTTAATGATCAGTTTTGGTCTATTGTTTCAAATTTGAATAGACTGGAAACACTTGTAGTCTATTCACATGCTGATAGTTTTCAATCTCAATTGCAAGTTTTACTTGATCGTGCACCTAACCTTCGTTGTCTAGATATTCGTCAAGATGAATCATTATCTTTACAAATGTCATTATTCCAGTATAGAACCTCATCAGCTCGTCAACTCGATTTCCGAGGTTATAATTATTATTTCAATGAAGAAGAATGTATTAGATTATGTCATTCATCATTATGTATTCAATGTGGAGTTCTTTTTATCAGAATTAAGAGTCTTCATAGTACCATTTATCTTGTCAAAAATATGATAAATCTTCGATCATTACATGTTAAACGTGACGATGAAAAGTATCATAAACGATTAGCAACAGCAAAGAATAATAATGACAAATATCGTGATGAAAACGTAGAAAATGAAGAGGAACTTATTGAATGGTTAAAAGATCCTTTACCATCGACGTGTTTATTCTCAAAAAGTGCACATTTTCCCAGTGATATTGTAATATGGATTTGATGATAACAAAGAAAAGTGAACTTATCATTTAATCCGGAACATACATTATCTTTTAATGATACTGTTCAAGAATAACCATTTTGTGGAACTCACATATATTTTCGAAGAAAATAGTGAGTGTAAGTTTTAAGTTCAAGTTTTCGCGATTTTCCCCACTCCCTCTCCATTACAGACATCCCCCTCCTCCACTGTAGACCTTAGCAATTAAAAATAACAGGCGTTAGACTTTCTAGCTTTTTTCAAAAAATTGATCAAGTTATGATTTTGAAAGATAATCAACATCATTGTTTGTGAGCTGATTAGCATATATAATAGTGCATAAGATCTTCTGTAGATATCATGGATATATAAAACAGATTTATTCGCCAATTAATTCAATGATTATAATAATAAGAATGTTAAGTTACGAAAAACGATTTAAAATAAAAAAAAATGAAAGATAATGAGCGAACAGCAACAATGCAAAATAAAAATAGGGCGCTCTCAGATAAAAAAATTTTTCTGTTTTAAATGTAGACATAAATAACAAAGTCTTGCTCTTATCATTGATTATCAGTGAAAACGATTACAGTGTACACGAAATTTTTCAGTTTACATATGATGCATTAGAATATTAAGGCTTAAGGATATATGTGAGTTCCACATTTCAGCTCCAAAGGAGCTGCGCTAATAAGCTTTTTCATTGTTATTTTTTTGTATTATTAACATTATTCTGCTTCATAAAAATAAAATTATCAAACATAATTAAGGTGATCTAATCAAGATTTGCAGTTTAGCACTCATTTGGTGGATGAACTGACTCTTTTTTGTGTCATAGAAGTATTAATTAAAGTATTGTTTGAGAATTGATTTGAAATTAACAAAATAGCCATTGTATTAAAGAATCGTATGGAAAATTTGTGCAATCGCTAATTATCATGGTTCAGATTTCGTCTCAACAAAGAGAATCATCAGATGGTTTGGAAAAAGAGTTAAATTTATTTTGTTTTACAGTTCTTAAAAAGAATAAAACTTTGACATGTTGAGGGTGTGGATGTTAATCTTCAATTTATCCAAACTCACATCCACACCCAAAATTGAAGATGATGAAGAAAATTCTAATGACAACTCATCTGATAATGAAAGAATGTCTGTTAAAAAAAAACGAGTTATGAAAAACGTATTTCAATATATATGAAAAGAAAAAATTAAATAGAGCTTCTAAAACATAATTATTATTTACTTTGACTGTGTGCCACTTTGTGAAACACGCTCTGAAAGAAATGTTGAAGTGTTTAGGGGCAGAAATTTGCACTCACCTCCTCCCCTTCACAGATCCTAACAGAGAAAACTCAGTATCCATTGCAGAAATAGATAGACCTGTTCTTATACGAACTACAATTAAACGTCACCAGAATTTCGTGGAAATATGCCAATTGTTTCCTTGTTGCAGCTCCAGAGGAATTAATAAACAATGATTTATTAACGGATCCGAAGATATCGAAGAAAACATTCGTGTGACTAGTAACAACAGTTGCATCGTGTTTCACATTTTAATCCTGCAGGGATTGCGCTAACAGCTTTTCTATCATAAAGTCAAAGATATCTTTATATATATAGTTTGGATATGAGTGGATATGGTTGAAATGAACATTCTAACACTCAAACATCCACATCTACACCCACACCCTAATTAAGTTCAATCTACTGGTATACATGGATAATATGAATGATTGAATATATATCCATGTATGTTAATGATGATTAAAACTTAATTAATATCAACGATACAAAGTCTATGCGAGAACAAAGAGAGAGAGAGAGAAAATTCTCTCTCTTTCAAATGAGCATAGATACTCATGTTTTTTCAATGAAATTTCATTCCGATATTCGAAATAAATACTATTCTGTTTTCTCCCTATTTTAGGTTGGTCTTCAACCAAATAACAACCACAAGCAAAATTACTTCAAAATAAAAATTGTGAATGTCGTTTTTAACTTTTTTTTTCATTTCATATTTATATACTCATCAAGATCATTTGAGATAAAGAATTATAGAATGACTCAGTTAATTTTACTAATATTTTATTCATTTTGTTGTATTTCTACGATACATCAAAGATTTTAAAATTTTTATATGGTTTGATACTACAATTGATTACTTTATCTAATAAATAGTGTTCAGTTGATGTATGTAGCATTTATTGATAAGAAAATAAAAAAATTCTATCGCCCAATAAATACAAGTTTCGCACAAACAAGTAAAACTAATAATTCAAAAAGAGAATTTAAAATATTCAATAAAAAATTTTTTGAAAATTATTGAATTGTTTTGTAAAGTTGAAATATGTGCATATATTTGATCAAGTATAAAATGTATGAATACAAATAAATGAATTGTCCAATAATTGATAATTGTTTGGACTAATCGAAGAGAACATCTGAAAATTTAACAGAAAAAACGATTTATTTTATCTGCGCTTCTCGAAATTCATTAAGGTTTTGATGTATCCCAACTAAATCAAATGAAAATATTTAATTAGATAGAACAATCGATGCTCTATCAGATACTATACATAAATAAAGAACTTCTGATGTTTTGTATAAAAATTCAGCAAACCAAAAAAACCTATTAAAATTAAATGAAACATTTTCTACTCATCGCTTGATCTCTTAGATCAAATTTTTCTCTTGCTTTTAGTTTCAAGTCAGTAATTGTATTTCTATTTCAGGTCTCATCTAGGTGAGTTCTGATTTCTTTTTACATAATTTTACAATTATGAATATAATTCTTTTTTTCTTTTTAGATTTATAGCATCGCATCCAATAAAATGTAGGCACGTCCATTTTTGTACTTTAACTAATCTTCTATTTTACCTCCAAAACTTTAAAAGAGGGTTTCCGTTACGGAGAAATTGCGGGTTATTCATTTATAAAATCTTACCATGTCTTTCGGATCGACCGTAAACACCGGCTAGGAACGTTGTCAGATAGTTCAAAGTCGCGCGCGAACGCGCGTGAATACAACAGAAACGGGAGTGTAAAGCAATTGAGTCACATTTATTGAAAGGCAAAGAAAAAAATAGCATTCGCAGTGTTTTAAGCATTTGAGGCAATGTTAAATTTTTGCACTCGATGATTATAGCGATCGACGACATAGAGATTGCCGTGTTGATCGAATGATAAACCAAAGGGCCAATTGAGTTGATTCGATTCTTCCCCTTGGCCATTTCCACCAATAATGACACTTCCTTGTGTGGCTCCTTTGGGCCAACGTATGATTCGATCATTTCCTGCATCAGCCACATAGACAGTGCCTAATTGATCGACAACGAATCCTCGAGCATATGACAATTGTGTATGACCATTTCCTCGTCCTTGACCGCCAGCCACAATAATGCCTTGTATTGCATCTTTCGACCATTTCATCACACGATGATTGTTCCAATCAGATACGTACACTGAATGATCTCGATCGACGAATACGTATGTTGGCTCATCGAGTTGATCGAGACGATTTCCACTTCCATTGCCACCTGCAACCACTGTTCCTTCCGATTCTCCTCTTCGATATCGTCTCACTTCATGTTTTCCTTTGTCAACAACATAGAGAGATCCATTCTCATCCATTGTCAAAGCCACACAAGTGATGTTGGAGATGATTATTTCTCCATTTGTTCCATTTCGACGAGACTATCGAACCACTCTGTTATTCCAACCATCGCATATGATGAGACTATCTGTCTCTTTGTCAACAATCACATCATATGGGTAAGACAATTGATGATCTCTACTTCCTTGTCCATTTCCACCAGCAACCACTTGGCCAGTCGTCACATCTCTTCTCCATTCCATAATACGATGATTGTTGGGATCAGCAACATAGATTGTTTGTTCATCATCCACAAACAAACCCCATGGATTGTCGAGTTGATCGGTTCCATAGCCATTTTCTTTTCCTCCAGCTACTGTAATACCATTTTGTTTCCAGCAAGCATTTGGATGAATGTCAATGGCACTTCCACGTAATGGATGAACTGAAATAGAGGGAGAAACGAGAGAACCATATGATAACGTAAGAGAGAAAGGAAAAAGTGAAAAGTCCATTTAAATTATTATAAAATCAACATCATTTCAAGTTCTGATTCATTGTCAAATTTCTCTTTTTAATGGGTGTTTTCTTTGTCTTTTTTTTGAAGAAGGTGACACTATCAAAAAGTTATTTACTTTGCTTCTCGTTTTGACTTTCTTTATTACTAAATTCGTCATCAAATAACTATTAATACCGGGTGTACCAAAAGTTTGGCGACATTAGGTATTTTTCAAATATTTCAGTAGAGATCAATCGTGTAATCTTGATTCTTTTTTTTTTAAATATGCGCCATGAAAACCTCTACAAAACTGTAAGAACAAATTTCTATTGAGTATTTCTGATGATGTCTCTTATACTCAAAATGAATACGTCCAATAATGGTTCAATATTCCAGAGAATGAAGTATTTGAATGACTATTTTTGTTTCGTAATTAGAACTTGCTCATACAGATTTTATAGAGAGTGTGGGTATGGGATAGAAAACATTGAAATTTCACATTTTTTTATCGACTAATAGATAGAACGAGAAAGAACCTCGAAGAATATGAGTACTTCAAAAAAAAAAATTAAAAAGAAAAATCTTCATTATATTCATGTAGATTTTAATAAAACTTTTCCTTTAAAGATATATTATCAGATATTAGCAACTCCATTAAAAATATTCAATTATTTATTATACTGCTTACCTTTTTAATTTCAAAAGAATTTGGAAATGTTTGTAGACAGATTAAGAAAGAGATAATAAAAAGCTCATATTTCTACACGAATTGTCAAAAAAAAAACTAAGACTATCAGAAATTGAAGCTATTTTATTTATTTTCTTATGTCTTCCTTTTCTTGTGTTCGTTAAATGTATGCTAAAGAATTTCTGTATTTTTTTCTTTTTTTTGTCTCATCTTCATATCATTTCTCTGCAGAATGTTAAGCTCATTACAAATTCATTTATTTGGCGTATTATACTCTACTTGTAGAGTCAATCGATTCTTATGTTACATTTCTTTTCATATATAGTTTTCCTTTTTTTTTACACGTTTTCTGATGTGAAAAATTAAAAATAATATCAAGATAAAGGGTTCAAGAGAAGAAAAGACACAATATTATCCTGACGTATTTTTACTGGTTAAGATAAAATCTACGCTTGCATGTCATTTGAAACGCTTAAAAGATTCGTCTTCGGGCCCATGGTTTTCAACGATACTTAATCTTAATTAAAAGTATGTTTTTTTTTTGTGTATATTGGAAGATTTCAGTTCCATCAAGCGACCTAAACTAAAGGTTAACTTATGATAGGAGTTTTAAGCCATAAACTGAGAATCTCTTTACACTATGTCATTACAAAAAACATAGAACTTGGAGTTGTTTTAAAAGAAAGTTAACATTAGTGAACAACTTTCCAACATAAAAATTACAGTTTTTGTTAATTATTTTGCATCTAGAATTTAAAATCAGACGAACAAGAAAATCTCATTTTTTCAAGACATAATTCTACTTTTCTGAGTTCAAAATGCAAAAATAAAAGGGTCTCAAAAGATTACATTTTATATCTTGCTTTGAATGATACGTCTTGTTTAAAGGTAACACTGTTACTTTCAACATATTTCATCGTCATGTTTTATTCACCATATAAAATGATGTTTCTATGCATGTAAAAGTTCCGAATCTTTAAAGAAAAGCTTTTATGTTACGCACTAATATTAGATAAAAAGACTCTGAGTTTGAGGTACTATTACATAAGTTCTAATTTCTTGCAAAAGTTGCTCTCACAACGAAATGAATATCAGAAACAGTTTTTTGTACAGAAGTGAACGCATTTTTCAACTG